CTGTCACTCAAAGGGTATAGCCATTTCAAGACAGCTGAAATTATTATTATTGGATGGCTCTTAAGAATGACAAACCGACAAACCTTATTTTGGGAAACCCTATAGCATGATCCATTGAATTCATGGGGTTACGGAATATAATAATTCAGTTTCTTTATATATATATATATATATATATATATATATAATTGGATTGGCACTCTTAAACTAAGGGCTTGGATATATTAGATAAAAAGAAGAAGAAGAAAAAAACATCAACAAACCTTGCCAGTAACAATAAATAGATATGATACACATGCATTTTGAATAATATGCTATACTGTTATTCACAGAAATATCATTTTCAGTTTGTCAATATTTAGCTTGCAAGTTCCATAAAATGCTATAATATCAGTTAGATGTGAGTTTTTTTGTTGTTTTTTTAAACATAAACTTTACAGTTGTAATTTTTAATCTTTACTTTTATAAGAGGAAAACAAGATTAAATAATTTTCTGGCAAAAAAAGAAAGTTGTATACAGAGCCAAAATTACTTAACGTCAATCAATTATTGGCACACTTTGCTCTAAGAGTAGGCCTCGCAAATTTGTTTGGAATTTTTATTTTTTTCCCTTTCTTTCAGGATTTTCTGCCTATAAACCCAATGTTTAACTATTAGTATTTTCAGGAAATCCAAATGAAGGAGCTGGGAGGCCACAAAATAATTTCTGCATTTGGCTAACACCCCCAAAGCTTTTCATGTTTCCTAGATACTGGTTTTGGCTCAACTTCTGACTTTAGTCCAAGCCACAAAGAAAACTTATCATACAAAGAAGCTTCTAAAATACAAACACACACAAGTTATACACACACACACACACATACAGAGAGAGATACATATAAACACACACACAGATATATATACACATATATACATATATATATATATACATACACACACACACACACAGATATATACACATATCTACATACACATAAACACACACACACACACACACATAAACACACACACAGATATATATACACATATATACATATATATACATACACACACATACAGATATATATATATATATACACATATCTACATATACATACACACACACATTATATACAAGCACACACACACACAGATATATATTATATATATATATATACAAACATATATACATACAATATGTTATTTTTATATTATTGAATGAATAAATATAATACAATGACCGACACTGTGTGTATATATATATATATATATATATATATATATATATATAAACTTAGTATAGCATGGCCTGTCTTGCTGTGTGTATGTTTATTTGGTCCTGGTTACTGTACAGGCCAGGCTGTCAGAGCATAGTGGGAGTGGGAGCAGGAAGGGATAAGAACTCGCATTAGCTGGAGGGGCAGCTTTGGCGCCCTTTGCAGGGCTGAGAGAGGAAGGCCACTGGGCGCCCTCTAGGCTGCTATCCCACGTTCAAGTTCAACTGTCTCTGGCTTCTGATTGGACGCAGCACAGCGGCCACTGCCACAGCGCAGATCGAACTTCCACGGATACATTGTAACACTCCCAATCACCGGCAACCACAGATACACTGTAACATTCCTACACAACTCCCATCACCTGCAGCCACACAGCCCACTTTCAATCACTAGCAGCCACGGAAACATTGTCACACACAGCCCACTTCCAATCACCAGCAGCCACGGAAACATTGTCACACACAGCCCACTTCCAATCACCAGCAGCCACTGATAGATTGTCACACACAGTCCAGCACAACACCCAACACCAGCAGCCACTGATACATTGTCACACACAGTCCAGCCCAACTCTTATCACTATCACACCAAGTCCAACTCACATCATCCAGAGCCAACTTAACACTGATTCATTGTAATGCCAGCAACCAAGCCCAGTTTTGAGAAACATACTTTGCCTAAACTCAACTCCCATCACGGGCAGCCGAGCGCTGGCAGAGATGGGAGGGCAGTAGCCCTAGCCGTGTGTAGAGTTAAATAAAGCAAGGAAGGAAATGGTGCAGGAGCACAGAGAATGGATCAATCAGAGAGGCATTTATTGAGCTGTTAAAGTGGAAACACTAAGTTAGACCAGCCAGGAGTCATGGCCGGGGTTTGCCTTGAATGCCCGCTGGAAATGTGTCATTCCAGGCTGGGTTAAACATACACCCCCACCCTGGCACCATGCCCAGCACTGCATTTACTCTGCCCTATAGCACACACCTAAACTCACCCATATAGAACTGAGCTCACACCATCCAGTGTGGTAAGAAGAAATTATATTATATATTATAGAGTACTGGGCACTCTCTCTAATACAATCATGGTGAATGACATGTATCTGATCCAACTGGGAACACTCCCTCCAATGTAATATTAAGAAATTATAAACATATTATACAGTACTGGACACTCTCTCCAATGTAATAAGAAATTATAAATAAACATATTATACAGTACTGACACTCTCTCCAATGTAATATAAGAAATTATAAATAAACATATTATACAGTACTGGACACTCTCTCCAATGTAATAATAAGAAATTATAAATTAATGTATTATACAGTACTGGACACTCTCTCCAATAAAGTCATAGTGAATATGTATAAAATCCAACTGGGCACACTCCCTCCAACATGGTAAGAAGAAATTATATTATATATTATAGAGTACTGGGCACTCTCTCCAATATAGTGGTAGTGAATTACATGTATCTGATCTAACTGGGCACACTCCCTCCAATGTAATATTAAAAAATTATAAATAAACATAATATACAGTACTGGGCACTCTCTCCAATAAAGTCATAGTGAATATGTATCAAATCCAACTGGGCACACTCCCTCCAATGTGATATTAAGAAATTACAGAGAGAGCATTGGGCAAACTCCTTTCAACATAACTAGAAAAAATATATATAATATTTTATACAAAACTGGGCACTCTGTCCCTCAAACACTAATACAAATTACACAGCAGATTGAACTGGGCATTCTCTCTTCAAGGAACTTATATATCACATAGAGGTAGACACACTCCACCCAACATGTTAATAAGAAATTATATATATATGCAGCAATAAAGCACCAACATAATCCTCATCAATATAATATTCAACGCTTATATATCAGGTTTTGTTGTAATTAGTTTGTTACTGGGGAAGATATTGTCCACTACAAACTAGTGTTAAAAATAGAATGAGAAAGTTGTAGGTGTAGACGCCAGTCTCTATAAGTAACCGCCTGTATGGCTAAAACACTACTGGCATGGCAGTGATTAATGGCTGAATGTGAAAAAGTGAAGATCACAGACTGGCTCCTAATTACAAGGGGGCAGGGGGGGTGGGCTGCCCTGTTTGGGGATATGTAGTCCTAAAACTTCCTTCTGGAGTTCATAGGGATAGAAACACAGAGCAAGTTACAGGCAGAGGGGTAAAAAGTGCAAGTTCTCTATTATACAATGATTTTCAATACTCAAGAGATATTGCACAGAACCAGAAGTAGCACAGACAAAGCCTTGGATACATTGTAACATTCCCATGCAGTGTTCAGCAAGCTGCCTGACTGTCTAACTTTACAGGTCTGCTGCCCCATGCAGAGCACAAGGCTTCACTCCCTCTGCAAAGAACACAGAACTGGCCTTGGACCACCCCTATCATCCCACCCAAGCCAAGGATTGGACACCACTCCTATCAATCCCACAGCTCCTGGGTTCTGATTGGAGACCTCTCAGCTCTGTCTAGACACTTCCTTAGTGTAAGGGGAGGAGGAAGCTGCTCTCTGGCATTGTACAGAGACTTACTTATTTATTTTTTTTCGTACTTTTTCTTTCCCCCAGGCTTGGTTCGAGCGAGTGCAAAATCTGCAGAGCTCAGCATTATTATTTTTTTTTTCTTCCTCCAGATGCACTGGAAGAAAGGAAACCCACCCTGATCTTGCTGCATATAGAAATTCCAAACCTGCAGCAGTACCTCGCCCCATTGAAACACAATACTTATTATTATTACTCAATAATATTCTCATTATTATTTCATTGCAATACTAAATAAAGACAATGCATTGCATTCTAATTTCTTCTCTTTGCCATCATAAAATAAAAAAAGTCAGGACACACATAATACCCCCTCCACACACACACAATAATAAATCAGGGGGTGGTGGTCTAAAGGAAGGCCCCCTCAAATCTGTCCTAAACTACAACTCCTATAATTCTTGGCCAACTTTAAGACTGGCCAAGCATCATGGAGCTGCAATTCTACAGCAGCTGGATGTTTCTTTTGCTAAGGAATCACAGGAAGCAGAGCCAGACAGTACATAATAACAGTTGACAGCCAACCAATGCAAATAATAATAAAATATAGATAAAACTTAGATCCAACACGTACCATTGTCATGCATACAGTACGTGAGGAAGTTTAAATGGCCAAGGCGGATTGCTTCATTGTGTTGACACAATAAATACACTTGGAAGCGCTGGACACCCGGAAGGAATAGGCGGAAGGGAAAGCACTGCAGCTTCTCGGCTGATTATTTAGGATTTTTGTGTGTGTGTGTAGTAAGAGGTGGCATTGCCTTCTTCTCTGGGGTTAATTTAATAACTGGCCATGGATCCAGGCTGGGCTGGCTGCTGCTCAGGATCCTATGTACATGTGTATGGGTGTGTATAAGTGTGTCTGTTTATATGTGTGTCTTTGTATATGTTATGTGTGTATATCTATATAAGTGTATATGTGTGGCTGTGTATATGTTATGTGTGTATATCTGTGTGAGTGTAAGTGAATGGCTGTGTATATCTGTGTGGGTGTCAGTGTATATGTGTGTGGCTGTGTATATCTGTGTGAGTGTCAGTGTATATGTGTGTGGCTGTGTATATCTGTGTGAGTGTCAGTGTATATGTGTGTGGCTGTGTATATCTGTGTCAGTGTATATGTGTGTGGCAGTGTATATCTGTGTGAGTGTCAGTGTATATGTGTGGGGCTGTGTATATCTGTGTCAGTGTATATGTGTGTGGCTGTGTATATCTGTGTGGATGTCAGTGTATATGTGTGTGGCTGTGTATATCTGTGTCAGTGTATATGTGTGTGTCTGTGTATATCTGTGTGAGTGTCAGTGTATATGTGTGTGGCTGTGTATATCTGTGTCAGTGTATATGTGTGTGGCTGTGTATATCTGTGTGGATGTCAGTGTATATGTGTGTGGCTGTGTATATCTGTGTCAGTGTATATGTGTGTAGCTGTGTATATCTGTGTGTCAGTGTATATGTGTGTGGCTGTGTATATCTGTGTCAGTGTATATGTGTGTGGCTGTGTATATCTGTGTGAGTGTCAGTGTATATGTGTGTGGCTGTGTATATCTGTGTGAGTGTCAGTGTATATGTGTGTGGCTGTGTATATCTGTGTAAGTGTATGGCTGTGTCAGTGTATATGTGTGTGGCTGTGTATATCTGTGTTAGTGTATATGTGTGTGGCTGTGTATATCTGTGTCAGTGTATATGTGTGTGGCTGTGTATATCTGTGTTAGTGTATATGTACGTGGCTGTGTATATGTGGCTCCCAGGACACTTTGTCCAAGTTGCAATGCAATGTCTCTCTGCCTGCGCCTTGTTTATTTCCGCAATGGCTGCGATTTGCATAGTTTTCCCCACGCAGCACGAGGCGGCAGCACGCGGGGCCCACGCTCGACCAATGGGAGCCCGCGGACGGCAGCCCTGTCTGGGACAACGTTCCAAATGCTCCCGTGCTAGGCCCTGCCGAAGGGGGGGCGGGGGAGGGAGAGAGCACCCACTCAGTCAGTCGGTCAGTCAGTGCAGACAAGGAGAGCACTGCCACTGGACAGCCAGGGACTTACTGCAATGTGTGTGTGGGGGAGCAATATGTCTTATTGATTTTATATTTATTTAAATTAATTCTATCAGAAGATGACTCAATGGTTAACCCAGTGTAGGCTTTCTGCAGGGCTCAGAGATCAGGGCATGCAAGGAGAGCTCTGTCACTTTACAGACAGACAGACATGAACTTGCTGCAATGTGTGAAAAGGGAAGGGGAGGGGGTATGGTGACCAGGGATCCTGGTATATAGAAATATATATATTATATAAAAATTCAGTAAAAAGATACGTCACAATAGTTAACCCATGGTTTACTGCTGAGTGATCACATGCCTTTTTGGTTCTGCTTAGCACCCTTTAACTGCTGGTGCATGTGGAGCATGATCTACTCCTTGTTTGCATGTTTTATTTGCTCCTGTCATCAAAAAAAGACACCACGCTGTGTTTAACCCATTATTTGCCAGAGCGTTCATATGCAAGGAGTGTGAGACCTTTTTCTGTGTGGCGCCCTTTAATAGCTGGTGATTTTAGCATAGCATTTGGTTAGTGCGCTGCACACAGTATATATATTTATAACATTGTTTAATAATGTTTGAATATAAAAATGTATGGTTGACATGCTGCAAAGGAAAAGTTGCTGATGTGTCGGAAATTCGTATATCTGTTATTTTGCACTTATTTTCCAAAAATCAAATAAAACACGGCCCTCTTAATTTAGCCATGATGCAGACATGGTGAAATCACATAAACCTTGTCGTTGACCTGTTTTGTGTTGTGGTCGTACAAACCCTAAATAAATACATCGATACATATATTTGTTACACTGTTACTCTGCCAGGATCACAGTGACAAAAGTGATGTTGCATGCTGTTCTTGAAATCGTGACGTCATTGGCCAGTAAGAGGTTAATTAGATATACTAAATTTAACTGGTTGTATATCATCAGAAGATTGACATGGCGTCCATTGGTAGGCCACATATACTGATTTGCAATGCAAGCACAGCCATTTTTTGTCTTTGAGTTTTTATTTGTGCAGTTACATAACAGGATCAATTCCAAAGTAAAATTATTAAAAAATAAAATAAAAATCCCACGTAAGTCACTATAATGCTTGTTCCACATCTCAAACTTTTCTAAAGAATTGCTTTGTAATAATATCCTACAAGTACTAAAATCCAATTGATATCTTTTTGTTACAAATATTGGATACTTACAAATCCCATTATTGTACTAATGTTCTTTGGGCCACGATTAGACAACCCAATTATTAGTGTGACAATCATTTGTCCTGAAAAGGTTAATAGTGAAACATACCTATTGTGCAAAGCAAGGCTTAAATGACACTTTGTAAAATACAATCACACATAAAATATATTAAAAAAAAACAATGCATGTATAGAACTGTGGTGGTTTAATTCTAATATTCTCCAGGGGAGATCATATTTTCTTATTTGAGACACATCTAAAAAAAAATAATAACTCTTTATTGTCAAAATATTTAATCCATTAAACACAGCAGAATTATTACATTATTACTTGCAAATATCTTGTATCGTGTAATGTGCCATCATTTTGCATTAGACCATTTATTTCTGTTAAGTGGTTAGTTTACCAGAATGAATCAGGACGTTAGTGTATATTTAATAACAGGCGTCTAAAACTATGTAAAGGCCCATCTAGCTCACTGGCTAGTAGTTGAACCTATCATAGCGAGACAATATAACACAGAATTATTATTATTCATTACAGTGAAGAATAAAATGAGACTTGTACACATAGCAGTTCTTATAGTCGTTTTATTTGCTAAAATTAAATTAATACAAACATGGTTTTACGCTTCATATTTACACCTAATGAAAACAAGGCATACAATATCTTTATATCTCGCTCCTGACATTGGTATCCAATATACAAGCAAAATAATTCAAAATTAACTGTTCCTGTCTTTAGATGTCCGTAAGAAATGCCTCTACACTCAAGGTCACATTACATGCTATGATTTAAATCTGGAGCGCACAGTCCATTTAGAAAGATAAGTAACTACTTTCATCATCTCTAACCCATCACTATATCCTGCCACTAACTGCTTTTGAAAAAAGTGTTCAATAAAGTGTTAAATTTCCTGTAAATAGCATATTTGTATTGCACATGTGTTAAGTACTCTGTCTGCAGAAGATCTCGTCCACACTCATTTTTATCAGTTTTTATTATGAATCTTATTATTACATAGACATAGAGGCATATTATCTGTTAGCCCTATAGACAGTTTAATTAGCACAATGAATACATACTATGCAGATATATTTTACATGAAAAATATTTCTGAAAATATAGGCCACTTTCTATGGCTAGGGCAATAAAAAATAATTATATTAATAAATGTCATGAAATATTGGTCCCTGTGCAGATATATTTGTTGCACATGATTCCTGTATGTTGTAAGTGAAAGTCAATACTGATCAATAGTGGCAGGCCTTTTCCAAGTAAATTTAATATCACACAGTGGCTATAATTTGCAATATTAGTCACTATCGCTGATCTAAGGGAATCACTGATTTGAAAACATCAACAGAACCATAAATATATTTTCTAATGTTATGTATTTTCTGCTGCATCTGCAAATTATTCCCATAATTTATGTTATTTTTTTTGTAAAACTACATATATATGGCTATAAATATTGTCCATAGTTCTGGGTTCCAGTATTTCAAGTTCAAATTCTTTTTAAATGCTTGATTGATTTTCATGCAGCTGTCCACTTCTATGTCTACTTTCAATCAATAGCAGTTTGACTTAAGTGACTTAGGAAACATCAATATGTCACTATAATTATTGCATTAATCTTTCCAATTAAAACAATAACCACATAGACTTCAATTTAGTCAAGTACTTAAAAAAATAAAATTAAAATTAAATAAAAACTAAACCAGCATCAGATTTGTTACCAAGCAAGTTAAGTCCCAGACTGTCTCTGTCTCTAAGCAGTCTCTAGCTTTTATAGCAAGAGGCAGAATATTGCCCGAGCTCACCTTGCAGAAAGGTTTTTAAATAAATATATTCAGTGTAGGTCAGTTTATTGACTAGTCCAAAATGGCAAAGACAGGGCAGTTGAGATGGAATGTGTCTGTTTTGCTGGAATTCAAGAGGAAAAATAATATTCAAGATTCCTTGTGTCTCCTGGGTTGATGCAGCAGTCACCCCTCCTCCCCCCTAAAAAAAATAATAATAAAAAAAAAAATGAAGAGGTATAGTTTTGGGGTCCCTGGTGAGCTGCCCAGATGTGCTAGCTCAAAGCAGTCTTGCAGTCAGGTGCGTGGGGTGTAATGCAGTCCTACGTTGCTGCCCAGGCTGTTTGTACAAGGCTGTTCTTCCTTGTGCTGCATAATATCTTCTGCTGTAACGTGCAACCTCTGAGATCTAGAGGTTTAATCTCCACACCCCTCAAGGTGTCTGCACCTTAAAAATCAGGTCCTTCGCCCCAGCACCGTGCAGTGATCTCAGCCCAGTGTATAATAAGCTCAGTTAGATCAGACAGGCAGGGGGATCTGCAGTGAGTCAGTGCCAGACAGGGCGAGGGGACAGGCTCAGCCAAGATCACGTACTGAGGTTAGCGCAGGCTCTTTGACCATGTGCACAGTAACAGCAGCAATATTCCACTGAGCTGCCCTATGAATATATGGCAGCCCCCACCCCCTGCTGGACGCTCAGATCTGGGGAGCCTCTCATCCTCCAGCCAGGATGGGGATTTGAGAAAAACTCCACTGCGAGAACATTTAGCACTAGAGGGCTCTTTGACTAAGATTTTACAAACAGATCTCTCTTACGTCCCACTTTTTTTTTAACTCCTCGTATTTCTTTTCTTGCACTTTTTCAATATCCACATTTTTATTATTTATTCATTTTATTTATTTATGTTTTGCTAGACCTTATTTTTTAATTTTTGGAAATTTGCAGCAGAGAATTAATTTATTGCAAGAAGCAGGCATCCATCTGAGAGAAATACATTAAATACACATGTTGTACGTTTCTAAAATGAATACATTAAATGCAAAACTGTTGAGAAAAAAAAAACTAAATTCTGGAAAATTCTGAAACACTTTGGCATAATTTTCTAGCGTAAGAAATGAATAATAAAAACAATATTTACAAACTTAATTACAATAAAAATGTGTGTCGGTATATATAGTGGTTTGTTTTGCTTTTTTTTTGGCGTCCTCAAAAATGAACTCATTAATAGTACTAAAATCTAATAATATCACATTGATTATATTTTGTATAAAAATAGGCATTACACCACTAATAGTTATTGTTTTCTGTGTCGTATTTAAGTTTTCTACAGCAGATCAGTTCCTAAAATGTAAACATAAATATAAAAATTTATGTCAAAACCCATATTTCAATACGCGGTATATTTAAAACTCGGGAATATTTTTTTTTCGTGAAAGGCTATGATGGTCTTTGTCACAATGTATCTAACAGCACTGTAAAGGTCAATAGACTGTTTCAAAACCCTTCAATTGGTTTAAACCAGTGCTTTGGCATTCATAGAGTTAAACCCCAAACCACAACGTCAAGGAATGAAACCACAGAGGTCTCTTTTTTTATTATTGTGGTTGTGAGATGTGATGACTAAGATACTATGAAGCTGCAAAGTCAAACCTTTTATTTTCCCTGGCACTTCAAAACTTTCTAAATACGCTAATAACTCAAGGATGATGTCACTTAACTTAAAATGCCCAAACGGAGGTTAAACAGGGTAATCTGCAATGTTTACATTTTAAGTTACACAAAAGCAAGTTAATATTTTAGAATTTGGGTGTTTCTGGTTGCGTGTGGCATTAAAAGATTCATTATAAAATCAATATTCAATGGATTACTTTTTCTCAAGGCAAAGAGTAGAATTTGGGAGTTTTATCGTAGAAACCAATATACATTTCTGCTCAATGCTTTAAAAAGTAATTTTTTTGCCCCTATAATTTCTCTAGTTTTTTTGTACAATGGCTCCAAATTATCATCCAGATTATGAGCTGTACAGAATAGCAGATACATGCAGAGGAATGCACACTGCACACTGCACATTTAATTAAAAATAATACATTTTATTCCATTTCTATACGGCTATTACCTGTTTGCTCCATATTGACAAATCCGATCAAATTAAATTTAAATTCTGGACTGACCATTAATGATCCTCCCTTGTTCACTATTATTCATTATTCGATTATAAGGTGCATAATTTGACTTACTTTGTATTAACTCCTTGAGTCCTAGAAGTTGGGGAACAACGGTTCGCAATCACATGGATAATGACTTTTAAAAATAATATTAATAAATATATTTTGATATGATATGCAGCACCTCAATATAATTTAATATTATTTTGAAAGTCTGTCTAATATTGTTTTACTATTTATCTGATACTGCAAAGATGTGTTGTAATTTAAGTATTTGTCCTAATGTTTTCTGAGCAAAAAAAACAGATTTAAAATACTTTTTGTCAGTCCTATCTGTATGTAAATATTCAGGTCGTGAAACACTGTGATTAACACTTTCCATGCTGTTTTTAAAGACATTCTGTCCTTTTTGTTAGATAAACTAAAGTAAAATATAACCTTCACATGTAATAATTTAACCAATTAATGTCATGTGTCCCCCAAAAAAAGTTTTCGTTTTTTTTATCTTGGTAATTAAATATTAAGTATAACAAGAATTATGAAAGTAAGTAGGGGAGCATATATGTTATCTTAACTTCCATTACTGATATATCACAAAATATTTCATAAACATGTTTGCCATTCATATGTAGGTTTATTTTTAGGACCACTTTTAGGTTTTCATCATAGCTCTTTCTTTTGATATTGTTTATTTTAACACAACTGTGATCATGTGAATGTTAAGAATCTTTGATTGATCTGCAAATTTTGAAAAAAATTTTTTTGCATTGTTCGCCCTATTATTTAGTTGGAGAATTTTATTTACTATTAAAATTAGGACAAACCTGAAATGGGACCTATTCTCTGCCTGAGCTCCTCAGCTAAATTCTAGCCCAACGTTTGTAATAGTTTATTCGAAAAAGTGTAAACAAAGACAAGAGCCAGGAAAAAAAAAATCTAATCTGATTTTGGGTCATTTATTTATTTTTACTTAAAACCCTAAACTGAACATCAAGCGGAGTATATTATGATCAGGTGTGTATTCATATGATTAAAAGAAATATACTTTATCAGATAAGTTCTATATAATTCATGGAATCAGTTTTGCAAAGCATTTGATTAAAATTTAAAATAGATAAAATTATTTCATTCCAAATTACGTAACTGTATAACGCCAGTATAACATAGTCCTGTTATAATTTTTTTTATAATTACCTACATATAACCATGTGGTAATGCAAAACTCTGTATTTATCACTTTATTATGGAGTGCACTTTATATGATATAATGACATTATAAAATGAATTTAGATTAAAAAGAAAAGATGATGAATTTAAAAATTACCATTTTGAATTTTATCAAAATTTTGATTTTGCTAAATAATTCTATGCTTAATTATGGTAAAATAAAAAAGTAACCGGCATATCAAACAATCCTTGAGCATTTTTATTGACTATAGAATTAGATTAGAGATATGTTTAGAATCTAGTCCTCTCAATGTATTTTGCCTGATGTGCAGTTAAATTCAAGGACAATTGGACATATTGTATTCTGTGTACAGCACCGCATACATAGTTAACCCTACTCATGCCAAATAGATGCCCTTACTAACATTTGCATACCTAGAATTATTGCTCCAAATACTTTATTGTTAAAATATTGTAATGTTTACGAATGATAAAAAGAACACCCCAACATTTATACATCAAAGTTAAAGATGCAGCATGTACTTCCAAACGTACAACATTTAAGATTTTGAATATATATTAAATTTCCGTTCAATAAAATACATCCAGTTTATGGTAATATTGCAATAAATTGTAATCAAAGTAATATTCTGCTTGTATTTGTAATGCCTAAAACGTATCCCCTAAATATACAAACGTATCCCCTAAATATACAGAGAAATGTCCAACATGCATATATTTGAGTATATAATATAAAATGTCTTAACCCCCGACCTCCCACCTCTCCACAACTGCTTTTAAGAAAGAATTCTGGCTTTCTCATTTAGGAACTTCTTGTAATTATAACCCATTGACGGGCTAATTTCTCTTTGCTACTGAAGATGTTTGGGAACTGCCCAGCTATCTTACGTCAAGATTTCTAATTAAAGTCATATTGCATTAACGTGTCATTTGCTTACAGTATTTACCGCTGAAATGATGGTAGAAACCTGATTCTGTAATTAACCCATACAACTCACACTTAAATCCCAAGGTTGTACAACTGTATTACAATGACTAAGATTGTGATTGCATGCACTAGAATCTGCTGTTACCAATTTTCCCCCCCAAATTGCCAGATCCATAGTACTGCGCACTCAGACGTCACTTGTAGGGCTTTTGATCCATAGCTATACTATGTACCTTACTGTACATTTAGAATGTGTTAGATTGATAGTTGATAATTATAGTCAAAAACTTTCTGTCTACCTGTATTTGGGGAACACTTTATTATACAGAATTTCTTTACTAATAAATGCTTCCAGTTTATTTTACTTTTAAAAAACCAACAACTATTTTTCAGGCCGTGCTTACAGAAGAAAAATAAGTCCTGTTCAATAATTGGATAAACATACTTGTATAGCAGTTATGGTGCCAGGAGCTCTCTGTAGCTATACCACGGTAAGGAGTTAAACCATTTTGATATGACCCTTACCTGGGCTTCTCTTATGGGAGGGCTAGCTACATTGGCCAGAGGGGCAACTGCAAATAAATAGCCTAGTGAGACCAAATTTAGCAAACTCAACTCCACTTTGCTAATTTTTGACAAGGACGTGAATATATTAATAATAAAATAATACAGTTACAAGAGATAATTCAGTATAATGCTGTGAGGTAGCATACCACAATCCTCTCTATACTAGTGGCCGGGGAAGGGGGGGCAATTTCCCCCTGTCCCCTTACCAGTCCTCCCCTGGTTTCTTGGACAGACATTCCCATTTACATTTAACATTATTAATTTTGTTAATCTTTGAACATCGTTCATTGGATGAGAGCATTAGCCAAAGACTTCGGTAAGGACTGCAAGCACCCAAGTGACCCAGTTAAGTGTCATACCATTCAAAAATGGTTTGACTCCTTACCGTGGGACAGGACCAGGAGTCTCTTGGGACAAACTACTCTAGAGCATGCTGTAGTGGTTATGGTGCTTAGAATGACTCAAAGTTGTCGCTGTTTTTTTTCAAATAAATGAGTTCTCTTGTAAAGGATTTGGCTGGATTACTGTAATAGTCTGAAAGTCTTTGAGTGCAAAAACCCTACAAAATAATAGATTTGGCTGAAGGAGTAAGTGACAAGACACATTGAGACAGATGGAAGCAAAACATGTTAACCACGCTAGCTATTCATTATGTATTGAAAGTTTTGAGTGATTGACAGCTGTCAGTTTTGTAGTCATGATGATTTACCTTGATAACGCTGACAAAGGGGACTTTAGACTGTTACATACTATTTGTAAAAATAAAAAAGACAATCAGGATTAATGTAAAAATAAAGCAAAATTAATAATAAATCACATATTATTGCAATGTATAGGAAATATTTTACCTTTTATATGCACTGAAATATCTTGTGTAGAGAAGGGTTAAGATCCTACGGGCCCCTGAGCAGGTTACTAGTCCC